GGTGAGTTGGACTTAACACTACTTTGTACAGTATTTCAAATATATCATGGCATGTCCCCTTGGTTTGAGAAGAAAGCCCTACCTTATGCTGTAAGCCTGAGTCTGAGACCAATTCTTAGTGTCTCCTGCTGTGATATGATTGGAACATTGCTAAAAGTGGCATAGAACCAAACTCACTCACTCATTTGGCAACCCATGCAATAATATAAATAATTGCACTTACCTAGGGTGGGTATTATGTAACGATACTTGCACACATAGTTTGTTGAGCATGCTTAGCCAGTTTGTCATAAGGGATACGGTGGTCAGACTCGCTGACTTAGCTGATGCATGTCATCATATATCAAATGTGAAGATCAATGCTCCTGATGTCAATCACTGGATTGTCTTTTCCAGGCTCAATTATTTACAGACCGCCGTCATATAGCTGGAATATTGCTGCTTGACTGATGACATGCTTTATGGACCAGTACTGCTGTATGACGTTTTGTGTCATGTGTAACCTTGAAGACCACTCAGGCAGGCAGATCTTGCTGTGCTGACTGAACTGTTTACATAGGCGTTTGTACAACTGCCTTCTCATGCAACCATCAGGGCCTTTAACTGACCTTCGAATTGAGATTAGCCACAAAAAAGTAATTTCTTTGCAAGGTTGTCTCAAACCCATTGAGGGGGCGGTCAGGTAGCCTAGTGGTAAAAGCGTTCGCTCGGATTTGATTCCCGACATGGGTACAATGTGTGAAGCCCATTTCTGGTGTCCCCCGCCGTGATATTGCTGGAATATTGCTAAAAGCGGCGTAAAACCAAACTCACTCACTCACTCAAACCCATTGAGAGATGACAAACAAATGGACCGACCGAATAAGACTTGTGAATTTAGCTTTGTTGTGAAAAACAGGGCTGGGTTTCACAAAGTGGTCGTATCGCTACGATTGTCGTAACTGTCATTGCTCATACAGTTTATAATTGACTGACAATTGTCAAACACTTTAGTTAACCTTCGTCGTACAGTGACCTTAGAGCTATGATGGTAAGAGCATTACGATTGTCGAAACTGGTACAGGTAACATAGACATATTGTCATAGTCATTTTACTTAACACTGACTTAAGGCACTTTTGTTTTTTACTTGCATAACTTTGTGGACTGGGCCCAGTAATGCTTGACAAACCGACTGGTTTCTGATCTTTTCTAATCCATTATTAGGGTAATCTCGTTAGGATCTGTAATCCATTAATATTGATTTTGGGTTGAATTAGGATTAGGATTGATTCTTTCTTTGATCTCTTCTGAAGGTATATTTCAAATTTTAATTATGATGTTTTAGTTGTTATTTAGCCAAATAATAGCAGGTGTGAGATAGAAATTGCATGTTAGTGGCTCTTGAAAAAATGTATTGGTTTAGAGATTCTAAAGCAGTATTTTAGTTTAGTTCAGCTGAATGTGTTTGTCACTAGAGCTTGTGCATGGGATTGCCTGTACTGCAAGGTAATAGGTTACAATTAGTTAAGCAATGGTTAAACAATGGGACAATCTTACAGTGGCAACATATTCGGGTAACTTTTTCAACTTTTTGAAGAACTAACAACATTATTAGAAATGTCTATGTTGTTTTTTATGTATTTTGATACTTCCTGACCTTAACATGAAAATCTGTACACCGAGAAACACAGTCTGGACCTATGCTATATTATTGAAAATAAATATTATGATCGTTTGAGGTTCAATAAGCTTGATAGCAATGTTAAACCCCATTTCACCTCGCATCACCTTACTTCGTCAGAATGTTTGCACGATATAAGTTTATAACATGTGTGACTGACCCGAAATCCCCAACTTAATACACAGTACATTTTTAATTTGGAGCATTTCATTGCGCTGGTGGTAATGTTGTGATAACTTTTCCTTATAGGAGGCTTAAAAACTTATTTCATTGGCCCAACAGTACAGCTGCTAAAGGTGTTTTTGTTAATACTCCACTCTGTACAAAGTCTGAACCATATCAGACATGTCTAGCCTCAACTCCATCTTGTAATCCCTCCCAAACATGGCCACAGCTAATGGGCCCTCTCTGTCCACTTTGTAGAACATTAATTGTGTGGTCAACCATGGTCAGCTATAGCACAAGCTCACAGGTGATTGGTTTCCGTCTGACCAATTGACCAATCGATGGCCAGTCCTGGCTGATGGGTTGTTGCATGCTCAATTACACTGATGACAGTTAACACCTATATGTATTTACGACTGGTTGCGGATCTATTGTGATAGGGTGACTTATGGCATTGCGGCTTACTCTTTCATTGTTACAAACAAGAGATTTGTAAAACTTTCCATGCACCATTTTCAATATACAGGTGTCAGGATTTAGTCAGGTTTTGATTGAACACCTATTATATTTTTGTTTTATTAATAAAGTCTCCATTATGTATGAAGCATATAATTGCCACTTGATGATATTGTGGCACAAATAACAGTTAGGCATATAGCACCTACTAGAGTTTGCAAAGTTTGCAAGATTCAATTAGGGTACACTCCAGATTTTTTTAATGGATTAATTGCACTTTTTATTTTTTATCTTTTGTGTGAGTACTTAGAAAGTATTCGCCAGTTTAATGAACTGACTCTATAATAGGATATCAAACTGCTCTGAAGGGAAACCTATACGATCAAGGATTTATCACAGATATACTATTTCAAGGACAAGGTGTTAAGGTCTTAGACAAAAACCTATTAAATCGCTCAAGGAAACAGGACAGTTGTTTCATTTTGAGGGCATTAACTCCCAAGTCTGAGTTATTAATCTTCAAGTCTGGAGTTGTGAAAGACAAGAGAGACAATTATTGTTATTTTTTAATATCCCGACAATGAAATGATTTGCAGTTGCTTCAGGTGATGAAAAAGAGGTGTCACATCTAGCAGTGTATCTGTAACACCGGCAGCATAAACGTAAGGTCTTAAACAAAAACCTATCAACTCTCAAATATTCAGTGCAGTTGTTTCATTTGGGGCCATAACTATCAAGTCTGAATTATTAATTTTCAAGTCTGGATTTGTGAAGGCCGTGATAGACCATCATATTTATTTGTAAATATGTTAAATGCTTTAGCGAACGGTGAAAGGTTTTGCAGTTGCTTCCAGTAATGAAACAGATAGGTGTCACATCTAGCCGTGTATCAGTTACACTGTGAGCATAAACAGTGTCTCTGTAAGTGAGAGCGTTGAAAGGGAAAGATGAGAACAGTCTCCAAGTGTTTGGATTTATGTGTTAGAGTCTACTGCAGCACATAGCTGGATGCTGAATATGAAATGCCTGCCCCAGTTACCAGCCTAAAAGATGTAACAGATTTGCCACAGAATTAACATACATTTATCAAAAGGTTTATTTCTGAACGTGTGGAAAAACGACATTCTTATCACAAGAAAACATATAAAAACCCAAGAGGCAAACCAAACAAAGCATCTCGCCTTTCAACAAGACTCTAAAACTCCACGCAGGGCCTTTCACAAACTAGGACCAGTGTGGGGAGATTTATGGGGGGAGATAACTCTATCTGATGAGGAAGAGTGATAAAAATTTAAGAAATGAGATAAGGTGTGACATGTCTCATCATATTAAGGAATAACATTGGTGTATGTCTTTCATGTTGGGAGCAGCACAACATGCTCTGTCCCCATAGCTTGTTTATAGTCAATATGGGGGTTATTGCTACTCAATATTTACTAGTCCAAATTTTGGTCTTGAGAATTTATTATCAAGCAGTTCTGAAGATAAATTATTTGAAGCCATAAATCATGATGACATCGTATGCCGACAATATTCATCAGGTCATCTCAGAAGAGACAAGGAGAAAATGGCATCATATTATTTCAAGTATTTAAACTGGAATAGTTTCTGTTGTAATGAATTGGTTTGGAAACTAGAAGAAATTAAGTCTTGATCCACTTATTACAGTAAGAATTCTTTAGATCTTGATATGAATAAGATATATGTACTAAGACATATACCAGAGCAGTGTTAAAAAATTATGACAATGTTAGAAACATCAGTTTTAGTCCATTAGTCCTTATAATGATAACATATAGCTGTACCCTTAAAAATGGCAAATGTCTACTAGTCCATATGATACCTTAACTATTGGGCAGTTTGGCAAGGACTACAGGATTAGTGCCAATTTCTAACGCTGTATGAATGAAAGTCAAGTGGTCGTTGTCATAACCTTTATGGACCCGTGAAGATTCCGGGGGAGAATAGGTCTTCAGCAACCCATACTTGCCATAAAAGGCGACTATGCTTGTCGTAAAAGGCGACTAACGGGATCGGGTGGTCAGGCTCGCTGACTTGGTTGATACATGCCATCGATCTCGATTGCGTGGGTCGATGCTCATGATGTAAATCACTGGATTGTCTGGTCCAGACTCGATTATTTTACAGACCGCCGTCATATAGCTGGAATATTGCTCAGTGTGGCGTTAAAAAACAAACAAGCAAAAAACATAACCATTATGTTAAGAGTTAAGGCTTTAGGAGGTCTCTAGAATCAATTAGTAGACCTCACAGTTCCCAGGACCTCCCTGAATTTCGATCTCTGTTCAGTATGTACTTTTTGAACAAACTAAAGGATAAGGTTATTCAACTTGGTTGTGTCAAAAAATTGCAAAATAATACCCCTATATTTTATTTTGCTTGTCAGATAATTGAAATATTTCCTGTTGTTTGTTTGTGTGAATTATAATCTGATATATCCTATGTTTCAGCTCGTATCGGCCGTGTCAAATTGATATATCCTATGTTTCAGCTCGTATCGGCCGTGTCAAATTGATATATCCTATGTTTCAGCTCGTATCGGCCGTGTCAAATTGATATATCCTATGTTTCAGCTCGTATCGGCCGTGTCAAATTGATATATCCTATGTTTCAGCTCGTATCGGCCGTGTCAAATTGATATATCCTATGTTTCAGCTCGTATCGGCCGTGTCAAATTGATATATCCTATGTTTCAGCTCGTATCGGCCGTGTCAAATTGGCAGCTCAAGATGTGGAAGGCATGCTGCGTCAGACTCCCTCAAGATCCAGAGGTTCGAACAAACTGTTCCGCAACCTACATGACAAAGGTATGCACAAGATCAGAAATCTCAGACAATGTCTTAACATCTTAAAATGCCCAAACAATGCTAATTCTATGGTTATACGAACCCATTGCAATTGGATGCAGCAGGGTATATAATCATTGAACTATCATGTGGCTGGAAGACAGAAGTATGCTCCAACACAGCACAATGACACCGGACAAGTTTGCACTGGTTTCGACTTGACATAACTGGGGTGTGATTAAGAAGGAATATTATATCATCACTGTAGACTTGATAGATGCAAGACGCGGGCTCCCTGACCCAGGGTCCTATCACCCAGCCACCCAAGGGATATGATTATAGGCCTTGCTCCAGAACACCTTACACTGACAATTATGACTTTACGACTGACTCACTCTAACTCTGTCTCTTCATCCGCGGTAATTCGTAAAATAACTATGTAACAATGAGTTTTCTTTAAGAGGATACATTCAGCGGGAAGGTGTGAGATTTCAGAAGGTCTGAAAGGCTGTAAGAGCCACCAGGTACATTGTCAGCGCTGTGACACACAGGAAGTTACGCTTGGGTGGTTCGCTTCAGGTTCGAGACGCCAAGACCACAGAACCAATGCAATGTTGTTCAGACTTTTAGACAAGGAAGGAGTGTTGTCAAGGAGCAAACTGTTACTAAGCAATTAAATAAATACAAGGAGCCTTTTGAGGCAAAATGTACTTGAGTTATCAAGATGGGTTAAGTGTTTAAATTGAAGATATACACTGATATAGCTTTAAGTGGAACCGATAGTATGGGTACTGTTTCATTGAACAGGTGCACACACTGAATACTAGACAACTGTGTGAAAAGGTTACTTACTTTTGTTTGCCAATGTCCATATTTTGCAATATTTTTTTCGACAAAGCAGTCACTTTGTTAGCATATTAAATGGATTATCCGTCCATTGTGAATGAAATCTTTATGAAAATATGGACATTCATCTTCAAACAAAAGTTTGAAAATATGGAATCATACATGTCCAACATCACTGTCTGGAATCTATTTTTATAATGATCATGCTGAGAACAATGAATCCATTGACCAAGTTTCTAAATCCTGCCTCTGACCCCGACCTCTCACCAGCTGAATCTGTCATCTAACATATTTGGGACATGCTTTCATGTAAGCATCTAGGTTTGTAATTTTCCTTTGACAGGTAGCATTTCAGGATGAAATCTACTACTGTATAATAGTTTAATACCTGGCCACCAAATACACACTGTCACTGACACAAAGCTGTTAATTACAACTCTCAGGATCATGCACGAGACTCAGCTCCGTAACTGGGAAAATGAATTGAATGTGTTACCGTCTGATGAGCCCCTGTGTGCTGTATGCTGTATGAGACCCTCTCTGCCAACTGAGCTGGTCAGGGGTCTTAATCCACCCGAGTTAACACCCGGCTTTTGCTTCAGGGTGGTTTACAACTAGAAGCCCTAATTGGATTTCTACACTTGTTTGTGAAGGTGTTGGCTCAAGTAGAATTTGTATAAGAGCTTAAACCTGATTATTGGCCAAGCTGGATTTTCATTTGAAAATTTCATGATCGCATGAACCTATATATGAATATTTGATAAGGTAGATTAGACTTTTGTTGCTGAATTTGGAAAAAAAATATTTGTCATTCTGCAAATTCTCTTGATGACATCAGTGATTCAGGCACTGTCTGGGCTAACTGTCTACTGACATAAATAATGATTAAGAAACTCTTTTGAAGGGAAAATTCTTTAGAAGGACGGACTTCCTTAGTATCAAGGCAGTGTTTGAAATTTTGATTCTGTGGTGCTTGAGCTCCTAGAATCTAGGGACACAAAAAAGTCTAACATTCAGTGTCAGGGTTTTGACAGAGCCTCTGACTTTCACGCTAAGTTTCGAACACAGCCAAGTCATTATTTTGTGGTCGTTTGGGAGTTATAGTTTATGTTTTTTTAACAAGGTTCAAGTTTCTTACCCCTTAATCTTGAAGTATCCCTAATCTTGAAATTATACATCCTTGCGAGTAACACGATCTCCTGATCGGATGGAGCACTGATAATGGGATATGCTCTAAGCTCTGGATAATCCATTGCAGGGGTCACACCGGGGATTTTGTCCAATAAATTTGTGAGTGGCCCCCGATGACCAGAGTGGGTAAGGAGAAATGTTCTCGGATCCCGTGTCTGCTACAACCACCACATCATCTGGGCAATCAACACACTGAAATAAGACTCCTCGTGGCTAGCTGGTCCATAATAAAATGTTATTCCCACTCTTCAAGGAGCAATAAACATCAGGCCTTTCTATCAACACGCTATTAACACCAAGACTTAAGACATACCCGGGGTGAAATTAACTCTTCCAGTACCAAGACTGATTTTACCATTGATGGTTTGTATGTCCTGAATAATAATGACAACTTCACACCTGATATTGACAACCACACACGTGAAATAAGTGACCGGACACCCTGTAGTTTTTGCTACAAAAGCCTGTTATTAGCTTACTTGTATGTTTTTTGGACAGACTGTGTGATAAATAAGTCGCGGGGACCATATGTTACCTGGATGATTTCATGCATAGTGAATAGTTACCATGGTTACTGGATTAGATGACTTTGGTAAAAGGTATGTACACTTCTGAAATAGTTATGAAATGGAAAGAGATAAAAATGTTTTAAAAATCTGGCAGTCAGTCTATGCAGGTAGCTTTTGAATCTACAAGCCAAAATGCCTTTCATCTTTATTTTTTCAGTACGGTAAATATGGACAATCATTGGCTGAGCTTTCTCGAAGGGAGACATTTTAATAGCATCATGACTTGGAATAGTGGCTGAAAATATTTTTGACTGTAATATAATTGTTATAAAATGTTATAAAAATTATGAATTTTCAAAATCAATTGTATTATTAATATTTGACAGAAAGTAATATTCTCAGTACACAGTATAAGAAGAAAGCCATTGTCAGTTATATAAACGGCTAAAGGCCTGTACGTATAACCAGTGTATTCTGTATGGTCATAATATAAGCCAATCAGGATGGGAAAGACCACCTCAGGAAATCTTCCTGATGCAACTGACAACATAGATCAATTTCAATCTGCCATGACTCGAATCCAACAATCCAGTCTGGTGATATGGATGTGTCGAGAACCGGCCTTTACTTGTTCATCCAGGTCTGTGGCCTTGCTACAAGTCTCTACTGAATTATAAGTCCATGGATGTATTCTTCCAAATAGGCAAGTCTAGATATGAGAACAGTACTGTCTTATATAGGGACTTGTTCTTATTATTTATATGATATATGAATTTAATCATAGGATTTATTTATGATTAATTAATCATTGTCCTAGAGACTTGTGCAAGTCTACCAGCTGTGGCTGTAGCAGGAACTAGGTTACTGTTATAGACTGATAAGCAGATACCTCAGTAATGAGGTATTCTGTCAATAATAGATGACCACCTGGTGTCGGCTCATCAAACAGGCCTGCTCACACCAGGAAGTGGTATGCCTGGAAAGTCGTCAAAGCACTGCATACTATTAACGAGGAATATTTACTTTTGTTACATATTCATACTGAAACAGGAACATTTCATCAGGTGTTGGCAGTACATTGTATCTGGACACTTAACATGAGATCAATGTGATGTACATGATTAAAAAAAGACATGAAGTGTGGGAAACACAGCCTTCTAAATTCACAAGTCTGTTAGCCTGAGATTACAATTATGAAGGACAAGTAACCATCCAATGATGGTAGTCCTTATTGACTAGTTTGTTTGTTTGTTTGTCTGTTTGTTTGTCTGTCTGTTTGTTTGTTGTTTAACGCCGCACTCAGCAATATTCCAGCTATATGACTGCGATCTGTAAATAATCAAGTCTGGACCAGACAATCCAGTGATTGACGCCATGACCATCAATCCATGCAATTGTGATGCGATGACATGCATCAATCGAGTCAGCGAGCCTGACCACCCGATCCAATTATTTGCCTCTAATGACAAGCATAGTCGCCTTTTACCATGAGCATGGGTTGCTGAAGACCTATTCTTACCCGGGTCTTGACAGGTCTTCAAGTTTACTACAAAATGAAACTGACATAAAATGTAAACAGTCAACATTTATGTCTTGTTCAAGTGGGACTGGCAACAAACTCTGAAGACTAGCTACAAACCTAGTAATTAGGTTCACGCTAGTCCCCTAGAAAAGCTAGTAAGCAAGGGGGAAGTTTATAATGTTAAGTCTTTTAGAAAATGTTTTCTTTGTTAAAACAATTTCTACTTTCTTAAAAGTGGGTGAGTGAGTTTGATTTTACGCCGCTTTTAGCAATATTCCAGCAATATCATGGCAGGGGACACCAGAAATGGGCTTCACACATTGTACCCATGTCGGGAATCGCACCCGGGTTTTCGACATGACGAGCGAACACTTTAACCACTAGGCTACCCGACCGCCCATCTTTCTTAAAGATTATGATCAACCCTGGATATAATGAACTTGGTTCGTTATGTCCTAAATCCGTCATTCATTATAGTATGTACAGTAAGGCTTACTCATGCAGGTGTTAATAGCTGATACTGCCCTACATCTGGCTGTGTTATATGTTTGTTGTATCCTGGACTCTGTTGGGGGGCCAGGTGGCCCAGTAGGCTGAAACAGCAGTCTATGTAGCACCGAGTCCCTCTGATAGAAAGATCTGTCGTTATGGGTTTGTGGTGCCGACTCAACCGGCTGTGATCTCAAATCAGTGAGCACCATTGCATGAACCAGTGGCACTAAGCATAATGAGTATTTACTTCGTTTACCAAAACATTGGTCTAAAATTCATTGTATGTGGTTGGGGAAAGAATTTGACTTCCATAATAGTGCTGCTCCTAATTATTGAAAAACTAACAGGTTTTGACATGGCAAGATACTTAAAGATAATTGATTTGAGCTTTTTATTAGAATAAAGATTTATGTTATTGACCATTTCTTATGAACAGCTGTGATAAAATCTTGTGGGTTTTT